TATGGAGGGGCCTGGGTGATGCCGTGGAGAGGCCAAGGCCATTGAAAGAAGACTTTGGTACTTAACGTTTTTCTAGAGGAGGGGGCACTCCACGCCACACCGTGCCGCACCACATGGGGAGCACCAGGTTTGGTTAGGAGTTAGGAAGGAGTGAGAGGAAGGCCCAGGCCAGAGCCTTTACTGGGGTTTCCACAGGAACTGACAGCAAGGTAGGGTAAGCAGCTTAGAATTGGCCAGTTTGAATAATTCTGGCGGGCTTTGGGTGATAGGGGTGGTCTCTGTACCTGGTACCTGGCCTGCGTTGATTTAGGGCAGGAGCAACATTGGCTCCAGTGAGAGTCAGATGAGGAAGGGCAGTTTGCGTAAGGACGCACTCCTGACCGAGCCCTCGCTGTCTCTAAGGACTGGCTAGCCCTGGGAGGGGCGGTCTCTCCCTGGGTCTGTGAGGCCTCCACGCACCAGAGCATCCGGAAAAAGAAAATAAGGTTAATATCATTTGCCCTATGATGAGTGGACGCCAAATAGACAATTATGGAATCCAGACAGCTCAGCTAGAACAGCTGCCTCCGTTGACAGCATGGCACATGTAACCCGAGACAGACACACGGACGTCAGGGTGACAGCCTCACTGTCGTGTCTTTCACAAGATTAACTGTAATCCCCAAATTAATCTCTAACTCAGCGTCTCTCTTGGGTTGTGGTTTCAGTGTCTTATTTGGTAGAGTCCCGAGAAGCTGCGTGTGGGTTAGGGCTCTGCTGACAGTGCTGTGGAGCTGCATGGCATAGGTGTGGTGCTCTTCTGACGGGGCCTCGCCAGGAGCCTCGAGTCAGTGCATGCAGCCCTCCATCACTCCCCCTCGGCTTTCCAGTTTATCTCCTTCATTCTACAGGGGTTTTAAATATGGGAGTATATGCACATTTTGCAAGTTTTTCGTTTTATGAGTATATTTTTTATAAATTGTGATATATCTCAGTGTAACTTTTTTTGTCTCCTTTAAGTTAGAGTTGTGATGGAGATGGAGAAATTGTAATTTCTCATTTTAAGGAAGTGGATAGGAAACGTGTGACAGGAAGCCGCCAGGGCAGCTTGGTCTCGGCTGGTGGTGGTGTCACCCAGGGCTGTACCTGTGGGCCGGGGGTGCAGAGAGCGCAGCCAGCCCCGATGACGGCTGGCCTCTGTGCCACCTCTTCCCAGATGGGGGTGAGCTAGAGACTGCAGCCTACCACTGTGCTCAGCTCCCCTCCAGATCCAGATGAAGACCCTAACGCAGAGAGAAACCATAAAGCTTTATTTTTCAAACATGTTGGTGTCCCCAGCAGCTGGGGAGATGTTCCTTATTTTGACCTGACATCTTTAAGCATTGTTTCCCCAGAATAATTTCATCATAAAGAATCCAGAATCCAGACAGCTTTTTACCATCTACCTTTTTAAAAAATTCTGTTTGGTTTGATCTGGACTGCTCAAGACTGGTGGTATTAAGCTCTTTCTCCTGGATGAGAGATCTAGACGTTCTGGCTCCACGTCTCAAATTGTTTCTTCCGTGGTTCGGTCCCCATAAGGAGACCCCTGGGGCCAGTCCTAGTGGCCGTGTGCGCCAGCCTGTGCCAGCGTCTCCTCGGAGGGGCTGGAGACTGATGTTCGCACGGTTCCTCTCAGCCGGATAGGTTCTCGAGCTCCCGGGTTAGAGCTCCAGGCTCATCCTCAGTCCCTCCAGCCTGGTTAATCACAGTGCGTGGGCGTCCTCGTGGTTAGGTACCTAACTTGCTTTGATGCCTGGCAAGGGAATAATTAATAAAGAAACCCATGGAAATCCCCAAACACAGTTTTTGAATACAATAAGTGACTTTGTATTATAAAATAGGCCCATTTGTATTATAAAATAGGCCCAAAGAGATTTTGTTTCTTATTTAAAATAATTGAAGAATAATAGTTGAAGTTTATGTTTTCCTTTTGAATAGTCTCCTTTGTGGTTTCTTGGTTCTAATTCCTGTGTGTTGCTTCCGAATTCCTCTGTTGGGGGTATACTGTGCATCCGAACTTGACAGAGATCCCAGACTCCTGGGTCCCTGACGGCCGGCAGCAGGGAATGCTAACACAGATGCTGTTGATAAGGGTTTTGTCCAGGGCAACTTGTAACGTGAAGCTGTCAAGTACGCTGGTCAGACTGGCGAGAGAAGGGGGTTATTCGATGTTGTCCAAATGCTTCTTTTACCAAAATAGGGCATCTTGTAGATCTCAGGCCAGGCCTCTGGGGGCACAGTTGGAGCACAGCAACAGCAGAAGAGGGGTGACTCCAGCTCTGCAGCCACGGAGCTGTGGGAGCCACGCTCCACCGCAGCATTGGTCCCCCATGCTCAGCATGAGGACCCCAGGATGTGGACGTGGACGGTACCTGACCTGTGTCCCAGGCTGTGTGCCTGCTCCCTCCCGCCTCTTCAGGCTGTCCTTTCTTAGTCCTGCTCCCAGACTCCTCAGGGTCTCCTAGGAGCCTGGTTCAGGGCCCCTCTGCCCCTCCCTGAGGGTGGGGCTCCGCCCTCAGGTTCCGCCCCACAGTGCAGACCCCCTGGAGGCTTCACAGGGGTGGTGTGTGGGGCCTCACAGCACAGCCCTGAGGGCACTCACCACAGGCCTGTCTGGCACCGTGGAGTGTCACTGTCAAAAATAGTTCCCCCACCCCACCCCAAACCCAGGTAACAAGCTAGACGTCTCCATGAAAGGAGTTCTCTGCTTCCGGAAGGAATCCTCCCCAGACAAGGGGGACAGCCTTTGCGGAAGCTTCTCTCCTGGCCCCAGTGCGATGGCTGACAGCCTTGCTGAGTTTGTAAGCAACAGAGATATATGACCGCAAAGTCTAAAATACTTACTACCTGGCCCTTGATCCAAAGGATTGAAAATAAAATATGTAATTGAAATTAAAGTATACAAAATTTGAGTGTGTTTCTGTCAAAAATGGGAATTTAAGTAAATAACAAAGCAAAACATTATAATTTTTTTCACATTTTCAGAAAATATTTTTTCAAAATTATTAAAAGTTACCAAATATGTTAGAGTTAATATCAAATGTTTAAATCAAAATTATGTAAAGAAAGCTGAATTTTTAATTTAACACTTTGAAAATTTAGTTAATTCATATTGATAATTTTATAAAAAATAAAAGTCTTGGGGCCGGCCTGGTGGTGCAAGTGGTTAAGTGCGCAGCTGTGCTGCGGCGGCCGAGGGTTTGCCGGTTCAGATCCCGGCACGCACCGACACACTGCTTGCTAAGCCATGCTGTGGTGGGGTCCCATATAAAGTGGAGGAAGATGGGCACAGATGTTAGCCCGGGGCCAGTTTTCCTCAGCAAAAAAGAGGAGGATTGGTATTGGATGTTAGCTCAGGGCTGGTCCTCCTCACAAAAAATAAAAAAGTAAAAGTCTTGGGGGCCGGCCTGGTGGCGTAGTGATTAAGTTCATGTGCTCTGCTTCAGCAGCCCGGGGTTCGCAGGTTCGGATCCTGGGCGTGGACCTACGTACCACTCGTCAAGCCATGCTGTGGCAAGCGTCCCACATATAAAGTAGAGGAAGATGGGCACGGACGTTAGCTCAGGGCCAATCTTCCTCAGCAAAAAGAGGAGGATTGGCAACAGATGTGAGTTCAGGGCTAATCTTCCTCACACAAAAAAATAAAATAAAGTAAATAAAAATAAAGTAAAATAAAACTCTTGGCATCTGGGGTCTGACATCGTCTGGTTGCCCGTGTGGAGCGTGGATGTGTCTTGTCTCATGTGGAGAACGTCTTGTCATGCACACACAAGGTTAGGAGTCATAGGAATTGCTGAATATGGCACAGCGCTCCTGAGGCTCCACGTGCAGTTGTGATGAATCCTGCCTTAATTCGTGTGTGCTTTTGGAATAATAAATCGGAAAAGGGTGCTGGGAATTCCTGGAAAAGACACTTTGCTGTTAAATCATTAGTCTCCTCTGTTACCTAGTGCTTCTTCTTGTCCCTCCTGCCCGCGGCCGCCTCCCCAGGCAGCCCACCGTCTCGGGGCTTTTGGTTGCGGTTGCCTGTTGTCCCAAGGACATGGCCGAGATATGGGAGAGTGTCTCCCTGGGGTCTGAACGGTGTTTGTCTACACAAGAGGCTGTTGAGGGCTGTGGGTTGTGCTGTGCCAGCCCTAAATGCCTGATCCCCGGTGACAGGACCATACACCGTGAGAAGCGTGTGCATGTGTGCGTGTGCATGAGGTATGGGCCCTGCTGCCCTGGGCTGGTCACGGCTAGCTGTCTTGTCGTCCACCAGGCCCGGTGGACATGTGAAGGGTTAGTGTCTGCCCCGCCTTTGGGTGCTTATCACGCAGTTGGGGGGCAAGGCTCTACCCCAATGGAGAAGACAGCAGCATGTGGACTGTCACACGGGGATCTGGACAGGAGGAGGAGCAATCCCGGGAGGAATGGGGGCAAGCGGGTGTGGTTCCCTGTCTCGGGGCTCCCTCCCGGTGCCCTCACTGTTGGCGGGCACTTCTGTGGAGTCCTTCGTCAGGTGCTCAGAGCCCGCGCACTGGGTTGCGTGGGAGCCTGTCACTTTCTACAGGTCACTTTGTAAACTGCACTCTTTTGTGGAGACTTTTACTTCCTTATCTTAGGAACTCTGTGTTAAAGACACCAGAAGGCTTTCCCTAGACAGGACTTGGTGTGTTGGCTGTGGAGATTCCTGTTTCCCTGGAAGGAGTCTCGGGCACGTCTTTCCTCCCTCCTCGTGGTGTCGTGTCCATGGCTGCATTGAAGAGTTAGCTGTCACATGTCACTTCTGGGGGGTGTGCTGGGGAGTCCCTGTGGTGTGGGTGATCACCCTAATTCTGCGGTTTGGTGAATGAGCCGGGGCCGAGGAGGAGCGGCTCCCGCGTGTCGGTGGGGGGCTGGCCATTGTCGCAGCTGCCGCGCTGCTGAAGTGAGACCGGGGCTGGCTCGGGCGGTGTCAGCTTGCCTGGATGGCGTCGCTCATCGCTGGGACTTTGAGCATGGGGACCTTCTTCAGCATCGTGGGGCGTCGATATAAACGGAGGCGCAAGAAACGCTCCGAGAGGAAAGGTAATTCCTTTAGCTTTGATTCTACAGTGTGAGGTATTGGACTTTGAATGCAATATAGGAATGTTTTCTGGGGTAGACTGCTCTGTGAACTCATCTTGTTGCTGCCAGTTACTTTATACTTTCCCTTTTAAAGTGCCTCTCTTTCTGCTCTTTTTTGGCATTTGGAAGAATTTTAGATAGGGGCTAGCTTAAAAAGGTAGATTTAAAAAACATGTCTCTAAACATGTATAGCAATCTAAAATGATTTCTGTATTTTTAGATATTTATGAAACATTAGAAGTTTGTAGCTTTGAGTATTAGAAGATTTTCCCTCTAGAGAGAGATGCTTTATAATGATTTATCCTTTGCTGTCACCTCATCAGTGACTTCTCTAACATTAAAACTATTCTTCATGCTGTAGAAAGTCACACTGTGGCAGCACTTGTTAAAATATTTTCCCCTTAAAAACACAAGAGCAAATTCCTTCCATTCAACACTCCAGGTAATTTCAGTCTTTAATTCAACTTGATGTTTTAAGACATTAAAATCTATGTTTTTTCTTAACACCAGATTCAAAAGTTGTCCATGACTATAAAAATCACAAACTCCTGGCTTTGGGGTGAATTGTAGCCTTAAAAGGTATTGAGAGTTAGCTGTCTTGGTATAATATTCGTGACCTAATAGGACACGTCTCAGGTGAGAGGATGCCCCCAGTGAGGGGACTAGCCCGTTGTACGGTGAGCCTCTTCTTCGCGTCACCTCATTACCCACCCACCGATGGGACTAGAACACAGTCTTGCACCAGCAGTGTCTCTGGGGTAGTCTGTGGCAGGAGACAGCCATCCCTTCAGGAAATACAATGAGCCACAATTTTTTACTGTGGCTTCCTGAAGAAAGGAAGAAGAAGTCAATTTCAGATTCAGCAATCTTACGATAATATAACAAAGACGGATTGTGCCTGTGGAGTTCTCTCTGGGATTGGCAGGGGCATCGTGATCCGCAGACCCGTGTGACCGCAGACCGTGCCTGCTGTGCATGTCCAGGACAGAGGGCACCGTCCTGAGGGGACGTGGGGCTCGGCCCAGCCACCTGGGGTCTCCAGGCTACTCCCCGGTGCGTCTCTGTTGTTCTCTGGACTCCCACCCCAGGTTCCAGCGCTGGCATGTTTTGTTTCCTCAGTTAAGCATTAAAAAGCAAGATGTCATTAAGACAAGCGACAGAGAGTAAGACAGGCAAAAGCAGAAACTGTAAGAATTTGATCAAATACCCTAAATTTAGAATGGCACTATTTTTTCCATGGCCCCTCCTCACTAAACATTTAAGTTGGGGAAAAGATCAAGAAGTAGACAAATAATTCTGTCATCATTCTCTTGGAATTTACTGTAATTCAGATGGTTTATATCAGCACCACTATATGCTTCTTCACACATTCTAGAATCTCATTCTTCGTAGGAAAACCATTCTCAAATACATTGCGTTTTTGGACCAACGTCTTGAGAAACAGAGTGTTACAAGATGTAGCAATTAAGGCCGTGTATTAAATGTCACGTTCGCTGGGCATTCCTGTGTGTGTAAGTTCATTGTGAATGCTATTAACAGCATAATGTGATGTGTTAGTACCCGTTCTTATTTATAATATGCACTATATTTAAAACTAATAAAAATGCCTTTAAAAATTATGAGAACTATTAAGACTGGCCATCCCGTTTATACCAAGTTGGCAAAGTTTTACAAGATGTACAATTTTAAGGTGCTGCAAATCATGTGTATTGCATTTTTTCCTAAGGCTCATATAATGTGAGCCTTTTCAAATTTAATTATTTCTTGAGAACAGTGTAGCAGCAGGTTACTTGTCAGCTTTAGTAGCAATACAGTTTCAGTGATTTTCACCGCTCCTGAATTATCCATGCCGTCACTTCCTTCCACAGGACAGGTCATTGACTATTGACTGTGTATGAGACACAGATGGATTCGCTTAGTCATCAGAAAATTATGGTTGAAGCAGAATAATATGCAATTTAAATATTGACTAGGATCTCCATGAAGCAGACATTGCTACCCTGCAGGTACTGCTAGCCCAAGACCTGAGGCAGGCGTGGAGCCCAGGTCATACTACTGGGGACAGTTAGACCCCGCACACAGGCCTTCCCGGGCCCCGACCAGTCCAAGTGCCTGCCACTGTCACCCTCTTTCCACTCATGGCACTGCTGCTGCATAGAGGAACAGTGGGAGGGGAGTAGGGTGGATGAACTGCGAAGACACTCCTTCACTCCCCACCCCCCTGCCATGTTGTATAAATAAGGTCCTGTGTTTCCCGACTGAGGGCTTTCTCATTTAGTCCTTTGTCTGTCTCAAGTGTGATAGCACTCTTATCTGTGCCCAGTCATTCTGCATACCATGTGATGACCACTCAGGTGGGCAGCAGCTCTGAACTGGGCTGCAGTCTGAGGCTGGGGTCCCCCATGTTTCCAGGATGGAGAAGTGACGAGGGTGTGGAAATGGAGACCTAGACCCTAGAGGTGTGCAACCTCCGAGTACTGCTGGAGGATGGGACACTAAAGATTCTGTGCTGTCTCTTCTTCAGAGAGTGAGGAGATGCGGCTGGCTGTGGGGTGATGCAGGCAGCGCCTGAGGGAGTAGGCGGCTGTCATGCCAACCTTCTTACCTGGTTTCAGCCCTGGTTTCACCTTGCTGAGAGAGTGCCTATTTCTGAGGTGCAGTGTAGAGTGGGATGGCATGTATCCACCCATCAATCATCCATCCATCCATTCAGCCTTCCATCCATCTATCCATCCATCAGCCAGCCAGCCAGCCAGCCAGCCTGCCTTGCATCCATCTATCCATCCATCCATCCATCCATCATCCATCATCCATCCATCCACCCAACAAGTACCCATTAGAGCCTTCTGTGTGCTGGCACCAGGGATTCGGGCATGCACAGGACACGTGTGGGTGACGGGATGGCAGTGGCAGAGGGACAGCCCCCACTTTCAGGCTTGGGGTTTGCTCTGAAGTGGTCACCTGAAGTACCATTTGGGGTCTCAGGAGGGTGGATATGTGTGATGTGTTGCTCTCTGCAGGGAGGGAGGGATCTTCCCTAGTCCATGGCAAGAATGGAAGACACCATGTCTGCCTGGCATGGGGCTCAAGGAGGGAAAGTTGCTAGCACCTGCACGAACAGCAGCAGCTATGGATAGAAGGCCGAGGTTTTCTAGAACCTATTGTGACAGATGTATGGGTGCATTTCATTACATTTGTGCTGGTGGGCTTCACAGCACAAGTGTGGACCCTGCTCCCTGGGAAAGAGCTCCTGCAGCCAGAGGGCACATTCTAGGGACAGGCAGAGCCACTCTAGGTTAACAGCTGAAATCCTAAGCAAATATGTAGAATTATCTCTTTTATTTGGGGGGGGAAGAGTAGCCCTGAGCTAACATCTGTTGCCAATCCTTCTCTTTTTGCCGAGGAAGAGTGGCCCTAGGCTAACATCCTTGCCCATCTTCCTCCACTTTATGTGGGACGCCGCCACAACATGGCTTGACAAGCGGTGTGTTGGTCCACGCCCGGGATCCAAACCTGCGAACACCTGGCTGCCGAAGCAGAGCGCGTGCACTTAACCGCTATGCCACCAGGCCGGCGCCTAGAATTATCTTAATTCTTAAATCTTAATAGTGCATATCCTTAATGTAATTATTAGTGTTCATGTTGAAAATACAGGTCACATTATTATCTTTTTTCTTTGATTCCAGAAAATATAGTTTTCAAATAAACGGAATTTTAATTAGACGGTGTTAAATAGAGCAAGCATGGACAGCATTTCAAATGCATTGTTACTGTGCGCCCATTTTGAAGGACGAAGTATGGTTATAAAAATATTTTATGTGGTTTTTTCTTCTACTGTAGTTGACTCTGAGCTGGTGATGTTATTTTATTGTTCTAGTATCAGACTTCAACCATCTGTGTACATTTCTAAAGGTTGCTGTTGCTGAGGCGTGCCATGCTGAGGGGCAAGAGATACAGCAAAGAGGAGAGACAGCATGTGCATACGTCTAGGTCTGTGTGTGTGAGTGTACACACACACAGGGGGCGAGGTGAGGGGATGGGAAGAGAGGAGCAGTGACCGTGGAAGGAGCAAGCCCAGTGCTCTGTGACTGGCCCGGTGGTCACTCAAGGACTCAGGCTTCTTTCGTCCTCTCTTTAGCAGCAGGTTCTGGAGTCACCCTGGGGGTCGCCCCCACCCCTGTCTAGCAGTAGGAAGGCGAGAGAGGATGCAGAGACGCAGGCAGGAGGTTGTGTGGCCAGGCCTGGAAGAACACAGCGCTTCCCGAGGGAGATGAACCTGCCTCTTTTCCTGTCACCCCATCCAGCCCAAAGTCCAGATCTCTGTGGTCCTCATTGTCTGGTGTGGCTCTCCCTGGGCGGCAGCCTGCGAGCTACACGGGGACAGGACAACCACCCCCTTCAGCAGGGGGTGGGGGAAGGCGCCCAGCGGTCCTGGCCCTTGGTGATGACGAGGCCCTGCAGGCCAGCGTTGTGCGCCCTGCCCCAACGTGGGGCCTCTTCCTTGTTTACACCCCCAGTCTTCTTTGGGGGAGCACTCTCGTCCATTGCTCTCCCTCCTTGGGCTTCTTTCCGTCCTCCAGAGCCCCATCTGCGGTGGGGTTGGGCAGAACAGAGGGCCACCACGGCTTGGCTGTGGGCTTTATCAATCACATAATTTACTCTTAGGCGACACTGGTTTCCATGTATTTGTTGGCTGTAAAATATACATGTTTAGGACAGTGTGTGTAATAATGATAATTGAATGGAGTAAGTGCCTCAAAATTTTCAAACCCACGTCAGAGAGTTGAGAGTCCCCTGGTCCCCTTGTACCAAAGATGTCATCTTGTGGAGGCTCGTGGGGGTTGGGGTGCCTGCCGAGGTCGCCGTGCGGCAGCCTCACAGACAGGACTAGACCCAGGTCCCCGCTGTGCCCCAGTGCCCTGAGCTTTTGCCCTTTCCTCAGCCGTCCCACGTCCGCTTGT